CCTATCTAATATTTCTCCTCCAATTTCAGTTCTATTCGGTAGAGTGTATCCTGGATGAAGCATATTGATAAATTAAAAAAAAAAAAATCATGGATTTAAAAATATATATCTATATTGAAGATTAGTTATATTTGTGAGCATAACCCTGTCTTAGTTTCCTGTTTTAAGTTTAAATCTTTTTAAAAAAACATTAGTTTGGTTTAAATTAAAAATTTTTTAATTGGTTTAAACCATGGTTTAAACCATTTGGTTAAAACCATGCAACCCTGTTTGTATTTCACAACAACGATTTTATTATTTGCTTCACAACTTCAAGTGTAAAAATAAAAATTTGAATAGTGAGATAAATACAATCCACTAAGAAAATTTATTACCCATAGTACAATTGGAAAAAAGTTTAAGACCGCCATGTATAAATGCTATACTTTGGTACCTAAAATAAAATGCTATAGCTTAGTGCTATAACTTGGTGCTACTTTTGATTTTACCTACTGCGGACATTATTTTAATGCATTTATTTTTTATTTTTGAACCAATTTTTTTGTACTGTAATAATTTTTTCATTAAATTTTCAGTTTTTCGCAAGCGGTCTTTTTTCCTAGACTGTATTTTGGAAATTTTTTTTTTATAAATAAGATAATTTAAAAATGGCTATAGCATAGATAATAATGTACTCTTAGCATTGCTTAACCTTTTTTCCTCTTTAAGTTTCAAAATAAGTAAAATAATTCCTCTCTTTCGACAGCAATGTTTTTTCTGCTCTCCTCTTCTTTGTTTTTTCAAAAGCTTGGGTGAGTAGTATGGAATTTGCATCTGATGGTCTTCCGTAGACAACTGATTTAAATTAAAATATCAAATGATTGTATTTAGTATAACACTTGCTAAAATTACAATTAAATATTTAAAAAAATAAGTCCATTACTTTAATTTTTATGAAATATTATACCTAAATTGTGGAAAAAAGTAGGAAAAGCCAAGCCCGAGTTTTGGCCTTTGTCTAGTTTATTCGATTCCAAATATGCATTGTTTGTCTGTAGTTCTTTTTCTAACCAGATTTTGTAATGCAACTCAAATCTATCCTTGTGTCTGTTTAAATCTATGTGAGCGATCCCTGTAGCTTTATAAGCATTAGGGCCGGTAACTGATTCAATTAAATTGTTTTCCAAAGCAAGGAACAATTTTCGAGTAACTTCTTTATTTTTCATAATGATTGGTACAATAAAATTTCTATAAAAAGTATAATTTATAGTTTTTTTAAGTTTTTAAATAGTATTTGTATTTTAATTATTAAAAAAATTAATTTGATAATTAACTGAAATAAGTTTAAGTTTATAAATAATAAAACCACATTACTTAACTAAGTGGAATAGCATTAAATTTTATTGTTTCTTGTAATTTCCTTAATTGCAATTATTTATTTAGAGTTCATACTTAACAACAATGTGCTTTGAACAATCGAAAATGACAAACAAGTCGTAAGTTTAAAACCTGCTAAACATTGATTCGTGCAACTTTGCGCGAGATATTTTTAATGAGAAACCTTGTGCAATAATAAAACTCTGTAAAAAAGTAATTCCCATAGTAGGGAAATATGGGCAAAAAAAATCTTGAGGCTTTTATAGTAACTTTTTATTATAATTTCTAATACATTTACTCTCATATTTGAAGTTAAGAAAAAAGTTATAAAATACAAGATTTTTTTATTTGTTAAGTTTTCTATAATAAAGCATGTATTCTGATATTGAGAATAAAAATTTTTAATTAAATTAAAAAAAACTGCTCTTATAAAGTGAAAATCAATTTTATGATTATTTTCTCTATTTTTTTTTTTTAAAAAAAAACGTTTTTTAAATAGACAAACTTGAAAACTTTCCCAGTACTTCTAAAACAAAAATGAAAATATTTAAACGTCATTATTTTATTGTAAGGTATTTACTTTTAAAATTTTGCAAAAAAAAAAAGTTTACACAAATACTCATTTTCTGCATTTATGCCAATCTCTGGCATAAATGCCGAAAGCAACTTGCTTCTGACTCATGTTTGTTCAAACATAGAAGCAACTTGCTTCTGACTCATGTTTGAACTCCAAGATTATAGCACATCAGTTGGCATTTGTAAAATACAACATTTGTGCTGAGCCATGGAGTAGGTAATGTTGGCAGGAAACTTGCAATCTTTTGCTGATATTATGCTTTTAATCCAGAAAATCTAGTGCAAAATCTTGCGCTGACTTCCTCTTGTTTGGTTACAAAGAAAACTTGTGTAAGTGCTTTGAATTGGTGCCTTTGTTATTGTCATGTCTGGCTACATTTTGCTGTTTCACAAGCCCACACAGATATGGTAACTTAGCTTCAGTTGATAAATTTTAACACAAAGAATACATATTTTTTTGCTCATCCAAAAGAACATTTGGTTAGACACAAACATGCAAACCAGTGAACATGTTTTCTTCTACAATTTTATCTGAATAGAGATATAATAAAGTATTAATGTGAAACATTTTTTTCCTAAATTTCTCTGATGTTTAGCAACATTTTCTTTCCAATTTTCTGGTTGTGATCACTCACTTCCTAACTTGATTCCTCGCAATTACAAGAGTCAACCAATACAACTGATGATTGTGCTGATGATTCAGAGAGCATTGATAAAGTTTGAGATCCAGACATTGCAACTGATGATGATCCTGATAAAAGCACAGATGGAGTGTGAGGTTTAGACAATGCCACTGATGCTGATGCTATTTTGTCATTGACTAGATTCTCTAGATTAAAAGCATAATATGCATTGCTATCTATTTCAATAATGTATGATGGATCAGATACTGATATTAAGATATCTAGTACAAGTACTAATATTGAAAAGTCTACTCATAACAATTGGCTGATTTTATCCATCTCTGTTAAAGACAAACATAAATCCATTGGATTGTGTGGTTCAGACACTTGTGGAATCAGCAACCCACTAGTTGTGGGAACTACTGTTTCACATAGTGAAAATGAAAAGGTTTGGTCGATTCAAGCAATGATGGTGTTGCTGATTCTTGGAGCACGGATACATTTGTTTGATCGGAAGCCATCATCATCTACTAGAACAAGGCCAGTTGTTCTAGTAGATAATGATGGCTTCCGGTCCAATTATGATGGTGCTGATAATTTGGACAACAGACTCATTGGTCTATTTAAATCTGCAAATTACTATAAGATAAAATAAATTTCAAAAAAAATATGAAATTGATGAGTAAAATAAAATTTAAATTGCTGTGAGATTAAATAAAACTAAACAAATTGAGGAGATTTAGAGTGCCGTAAAAAACTTACAACCACAAAAGTATGTAGCTTATTTTGAGACACTTGAACTAATAAATTTTTAAGAATTTATGAATGAAATGCTGATGAATGAACAATGAAATGAAGAATGAGATGACATTTCTAGCCAGTTCTCAAAATAAATCTCAAAAGAATCAGTATGGTTGGCAGAAAGGAGTGAGTTAAGACAAATAAAAAGTTTTTAAAATATGAGTTTTTAGGAGTTAGTAAAAAAAAGTTTCATGTTCTTTTAAGTAAAATGGTTGGAGGTATACGTTACTGGACTGTTTCTCAGAGAAATTTAGCTGTCCATCTAGTCAATCAGGGTAAAACCTATCGTCAGGTGCAGCAAGAGACTGGAATTCCTCACAATACAGTATCCAGCATAATGAAGTATAATTTGATCGGAACAACAACTACAAAAGAAAGGTAGGGTTGAAAAAAAAGACTTCTAAGAGTTTTGATAGAAACTTAATTATACAAGTTTAAAAAAATCGCTTTATTTCTGCTCGAAAACTGGTTAAGCAAGCTGAAGATTAAAGTCTGCTAAGAAGTTCAAAAACATGCTGTTAAGTTTTTAGAAAAAGATCTTGTGGAGCGACGAATCGAAATTCAACTTAAAGTCATCTGATGGAGACCAAAAAGTTTGGCAAAAAGCTGGAGAAGCCTACAAATTAAGCTGTGTGAGAGGAACTGTCAAGTATGGTGGCAATAATGTGATGGTATGGGGTTCAATGGCTTGGCTACTATAATGGATCAGGTGTAACACAGAAACATTTAGAGCAAAATTTGAAGTCATCTGCTCAAAAACTTCGGCTAGGATCTGGTTTTATATTTCAGCAAGATAACGATTCCAAGCATAGTGCCACTAAATCCAAGGAGTGGTTTGTTAAAAATAATGCTGAGGTCTCGGAATGGCCCACACAATCACTGGACCTTAATCCCATTGAACATTTGTGGGAAACTTTAGACCAAAAAATTGAAGATCGGTCATTTTCCAAAAAAGATAACCTCAAAGTGGCAATTGAAGAAGCCTGGGTAAAGATTCAACCAGAAGAAACAAAATCTTTAGTCTAATCAATGCCTAGACATCTAAAAGCTGTAATTCAAGCAAAGGGAGACCCTACAAAGTATTAATTAGTTGTTTTGTTATTTAATAATTTATTATGAAACAAAAAATGTGTTTCCTCAAATATTTTTTGACAATAAAAAAACGACCTAAGTTCCTTTATTTTAAGACTGAAAACTTTTTGATTCATATATTACACTAAAATAAATAAAATCTATTTAAAAATATGTTCTTTTATTTTTATTAATCTTGAGTTTATCAAAAAGTTTAAATTTACAAAAATACAGCTTTTTTTTAGAAAAAATATTTTTAAAAATGTTTGGTCTGATAAGTTTTTGAAACACTGTATCTGTTTAAATTTTTGATTTTTGAAATATTGATTACATATATATTTGTAGTCTCAATAAGTACTGTTAATCAGAAAATATTTTTATAAGTTTTAGATTTGCCATACCTAGTTTTCCCATGCTTTGTATAGTCAGTTAAGCCAAGTGAGCCATCTTTAGAATAGTACAAACAGGGGTCTTGTAATATTAATTTGTACAAAATCAATTGTAAATAAAAAAATTATTTAAAAAATTGCTAAAATATATTTTATAAACTTAATAAATTTGTTAATTTTTTAGTATTTATTGGCAATGGTGTATACATACTTTCGAAGAGCAAAGTTGAACAAAAGAGAATACACAAGAATGAATTTCTTTGTGGCTTTGTATGCTCTTAAATATTACCTTTTTAAAAATATACAATAAAAATATCTTTTTTTTTTTTTTTTTTTTTTTTTTTTTTTTTTTTTTTTTTTTTTAAATTTTATAGTAAAATGTTTTAATATTTTAAAGTTTTGGTTTTTGTTGAATTAATATTAATTTTTATTAAATTGTGAAGAGTATTTAAATGCCAAATTTGTAGAGTTTGATAAAAAAAACTTCAAGCAAGATATGACCTCCAATGCAAGATACACAATCAACAAGACAAATTCCATGCTTTTTGCCAAAGTTAAATTTTAGAACGTGTATTGTAGACAAGTTTTTTTCACTATCATATGTTATTATTGCATACCACACATCTTGTTCACATCATTTTAAATTCATATTTTTTTACCATACATAAAGCAAAAAAGTGATTTTTTGATTTACAATGTAATTTATCCTTTGCTGGATTGTACTAAGCTTCATGTAAAAACTAAAATCCAGGCTCAATAGATAATTAAATTTAGCTTTGATTTCCTGTGTTTTGGCGAACATAGTTTGAGTAAAAACACTGATACAGTATATAATACATAAACTTATTTTGAGTAGAAACACTGATAGAATATATGATAATAGTAACTAATGTCTGAAAATTTAAATTGTATATTATATATTTATGAGTATATTAAAGAATAATTTCTTACTAGGAAGCGACGGGGGTTGAAACTTGACTTGGGCTGGATTTGATAAAATATAGCTGGGGCCTGGGCTGGGGCCGGGTTTGTGACTGGGTCTGCATAAACATTTATACATCATAAAGTATGTTTTTTTTATTCAATATTCATGTTATATTTTGCATATATAAACATATATGCATATATATGCAAATTATTATCAACATGATTATAATAATCATTATCATCATCATCATTATAATCATCATTATCAGGCTTTAGCCTTCCTTATATATGCTGTTTCTCTAATATAAACAATCTATAGCATTTTCTATCCTTAACTAAAACTCATTCATACAGTATGTAAGGCATTTTTTTACTTCTACCTAAACCATTTAATTCTGAAGCTGCTACCTCTCTACATACTGATACCTAAATCACTTTAATCTTCTCTAACAAACGTTGTTCGATATAACATTTTTTTTTCTAATCTGTCTAAGATTATGCCCATTTTTCTTGTCTTGTTAGAGTCACACCACACATTCATCTTATCATCTCTTTCGACAAATATTAAACCATATAAATTCTTACGTTTATATAAATCTGTAAGGATATTGTATACCAGCATCTAAATAAATAGCAAACATATATGTTTATATCCATATTATGTATGTATAATTGTGTATCTTTTTATGGGTCTGATTTTTTAATAAGGCAGAAAAAAAATTTTTTAGCTTGACTCTTATCTATTGGCTAATTATAAATCTTAAATCTAATCTGATTCTTCATGTCATACCAGTTAAACAGATTAACCCATTGTTAAACATCCAAATCACTCTGACTTTCAATGCTAAAATTAATTCTCAATTAATTACTTCTACAGTTTGTGCCTCAGACAAGATTTCCATCAGAGTCATAAAAGTGTTCTCCACAACTCTCTTCATTTTTTGCTAAACTATTAAAAAGTCCTAAATATGTGGTTCCATCTTTTAAAAATTCTAGAAAATACTTTGACCTTTCTCACTATCCTAAGATTAGTCTTCACTCTGTTATTAGTTTCTTTATATAAAGTTTTTGAGATTATTAAATTATTTCTTTCTAATTGCAGTATTAAAATTATTCTTGACGGCCTACACTCTTCTTTATTTTAAGTCACTTTTTTTTTTCTTTTTTTTTTTTTTTTTTTGTTAATTCACCTCCTCAAGGCCAAGAAGGCCACTACAGACGAGGAGGCTACTTATTTGTGGTTATATAACCCTCTCTCAACTCTATAACTCCGAAACACGAACCCTGACGAACAAGGCCGGTGCGCGGAGAAACGAGTTGAGCACAGTACTACCAGGGGCGTGGTGGGAATCGAACTCGGAACCTCTCGCTTATGAAGCCAGTGGTTTATCACTACACCACTACCGCATAACTTTAAGGGTATCACAAGGTTCTATCTTTGCTCCTGTATTGTTTTTTATCTACAATAATGATCTTCATGAAAATTTTACATCTTTTGTCTTGTCTTGACAAAAAGTCTTCACTTTTTGACTGCATCATCAAAATTATTCACAACGCACTTAAAAAAAGAAAACTAACATCATGTTGGATACCCCACGAGTTAACCGATCATAATCGAAAGAATAAAGTTAAGGCATGTAAGGAAAATTTAGCCCTTTTCAAAAACGGCCCATGGAGGCTATGTGATATTGTTACAGGGGATGAGTTGCAGTTTTATTTGAGACAAGTTGGACACAAGTCAGCTAATGCTAGTTATGTCAGTGAAGATGAAAGTCCAAGAACTATAGTAAGAAGTATTGTTCATTTAGGTTATGTTGAAAAGGGAGACACCATTACTAGCGAATATTATATAAAAAATGGTTTGAAAGCTCTTATATGCGAAATAAATAAGCAGAGACCTAAAACAGGCACTCACAATTTCAAATTTTTTTATGATAATGCATGTCCCCATGTAACTCAAACCATCACAAATTGTCTAAACCAAGCTTGAATTACAATAATTCGCCACCCACCATACTCACCAGACTTAGCTCCATCCAATTATTGGCTATTCGACTTGATAAAAAAAATCTTGATGACGATACTGACGTCGAAAGCCAAAAAAACCCGCATAATAAAGCTACTTGAAAGTATACCCAAATAAGAGTATAAAAAAATGTTTTACAAATGGCTTGAAAGGATGCAACTTTTTATAGATAATGATGGAAATTATTTTGAACATTTAATAAATTAAAAATATTAAAAACTCTTTTTTTTTTAATGGGAGTTCTGCAAACTTTCCTAACAACCTAAGTAAGTAAGGATTCGATTTTTAAAAATTTTCGAATCATATTTCGAATCATATTTTTGAGTCGATTTGAAATTTCAAAGCTTCGCAGGGGCTTAACTAAAATAATAAAAGTTACAGCCAGTTGCATGTCAGGTAACAAGAGAATTGTTAGTTACAATCATTTATAACTATTTTATATAAAACATTTTATCTGCAAAAAGTAAGAAGAAAGCAATGTTTTAGTTGCTCAAAGGTGGCTGGATTTATATACTGGATGTGTATACACTATCCTTCAAAACTAAGGAAACAAATGATAAAATTTATGAAGCATTATAGTACACTAATTACCATTTCAGTTGCATAAAAAAAGTGTTGATAAAATATAGTGTACTATACACACTATTAAATGTAGGGTAAATGTATATTGAAATCAGGGATGCTAAATCCCAAAAGGACTCAGGCTTTAAATTTTTTCTTGGTCTCTATTTTTTCTTGGTCTCAGGAACTCTAAAAGTGTTGAGTGACTTATGATCTGCACTAAGTAAAAAGCTCATGAGATTTTATTACTTGAAATTTATTGTTTTTTAGTCTGGAGTCCTTGCTGCCATTATACATATAGACTCTAGTTTTAAAATTTGGTTGTTCCTCTAACCTTAAAGTTTTAATTTTTTTTACAAAAGTAATCCATAAGTCTCTTTACATTTTTGGAGCACCTAGATACTAAAAACCAGGAAATATAATTTTTTTTGAGTTTTGAATCTGGAGTACTTTTTGGGACTCCATGTCCAAGTAGTCCGAGTAGAAATATGCTGTCCATGTCCAAGTAGAAATATGCTGTCCATGTTCAAGTAGAAATATGCTGTCCATGTCCAAGTAGAAATATGCTGTCCATGTCCAAGTAGAAATATGCTGTCCATGTCCAAGTAGAAATATGCTGTCCATGTCCAAGTAGAAATATGCTGTCCATGTCCAAGTAGAAATATGCTGTCCATGTCCAAGTAGAAATATGCTGCTATTTCAACTCCAAAACTAACGGAACTTTTAAGAGTATACCATCAAAAGCATATCAGATCATCAATTGATGGCATATCCATTGTTCTTAATAACTGAAGTATTTTTAAAATTTGTGAAAGCAGATGTGTAAAAATAACAACAATAAAATCTAATTCTCAAATTCTCAACAATAAAATCTAATATTGTACCCTTGATAAAACTATTTATATAGTTTTAAATCGAATGCTGCACAATGAAGTTTTAATATGTGAGAAACTGTTCTTTAAAAGCATATATATTATACAATGTTGATATAATTTGGTAAATATCACAGAAATCATTAGTAAAAATTTTAACATATTTTTACTGTTTAATTGTTTTGTGCCCATTTCTTTGCAAAATTTCTGAATAAAAGAATTTCTTGTGTAATATCCAAGTTACAATATTGCTTAAATAATTTTTAGAGAAAAAATTTGATAAGTTTTAAAATATACAATCAAAAATCTTTTGACATCTGAAGTTTGGAAGCAACCTTTAGGAACTGTTTAAAGTTTTTTTTTATTGTGATGAACAAAGAGCTTAGTAAGACTACAAAATTCATTGTTTCTCTCATCAAGTGCAAGTCTATTGTAATGTTGTCTTCAATTGACTCTTAATAAGCTGCTGTTATGTTACATTTTAGAGCAAGGCCATAGGCTTTTTTTAATATTTTCTATAAACTAGTTTTATAGTCTTCTCGTGTTCTTTTTTTTTTAAGTCAAACTAATTCACTACTGGGCATTTCCAAAAAATCACACACGGAAACTCGTATATGTTTTTACTTTTATTTTCATAAAAATAAAACTAGCGATCTCCAATTTACTCTCATTTAATTCTAATCAATATAAATATTTTGTAAACAAAAAATAGTAAGCATTAGTAATGTTAACAAAGAATAAATAAAGTTTGAAATGAAATCACGCAAGGAACAGAAAAACTTCTATATTAGTTACTAGATAAATAAACTTTAATTCCTCGGACAATATAAGTTTCACCCGTATACTTTTTTTTTTAAATAGTATTTTAAACATTAGTAAAGATTTCCAGAAAGTTACAGGATTGCACTATGAATCATTGAGTCACAGCAATCGTTTAAATGCAGTTTATGAATGATCACGCACGGAAGTCACACACGGATGTTGCAAATTTGTCAATTTCATGTAGTTATTTTTATGAAAATAAATTGCTTGTGAGTATTTCAAGTGAAATATTATACTTCTGCGACTCATTTAATATATTTTTGATGAGAAACGGCAGTCATCAGTTATTTCTAGCTAGAGTATGGCGTTTTGAAAATTATTGTATATTTTTCAAAATGTAGCGATATTATTACTCAAAAAAATAAAATTGTAAAAATGTGTATATTTAATTTGTTCAGATAGCCTAAAATGTGATAAAAATATTTTTGTTATAATTGTTCTTTAAGAAAATCAAAATAGTATGCATATTGCATAAAGTCCCAGCTTTTAATTGCTAAAACAAAGAAAAATAAAAAGCCACGCACAGAAATGGAAATGCCCTACTAACAAAGCTGCAAGCAACCACTTTTGAATCAGGAGTTACTAAAAAACAAAGAGTATTATTAAAGATCAAGATAATGGTTGACAGAAAACTTGAAAAGTTGTAGATTGTTGTCAGAAAAAAATGAAGATGAAAAGAGTTCCAAAGCATTTATGTTCAAAGAAGGAAACTAAATGAGTAGAAGTTTTTAGAGCTGGAAAGAGATGCGAATTTGATGAAAAGCGAGTCAAGCAAGAATGAGTTTTGGTAGATGGAACTAGAGATGGTAGTTTGTTTGAGCAGTGACCATTATAGTATTTGTAAAAAAGAGAAAAAGATGCAACCTTATGATAACATGATAGTGACTCAGGCTTGGCAGATAGAACAGATCCAACTTATAAAATCCAATTTATAATGCGTTTTTGAACCTTGTCTAGAAAAGAAAGAGCATCATTAAAAGAATCAATCCAAATATGACAATAGCATTCCATTCAGGGACAAATAAGTGATTGGTAAAAGTAGAGAATGGAATTGGGAGTAAGAAAATGTCGGATAAAGAAATGCAACCTTAGCTGATGCTAACATTGCAAGGGATTTTATATATGGTTTCCATATGAGATCACTAATGAATGATAATCCAAGAAAATATAAAGTAGACTCAAAGAAAGGTTTGTCATTCATCAATATATGAATGTCAACAATATTGCGATAGTTGTTAGCAGTAAATGACCACTGCTGTTGCAGAAAAAAGATCAGATTTAAGATCAGCGGCTTGTTCTAAGCAATCAAAAATTGAAGACTGTTCTAAGGGATCAAAAGTGAAGACTTTTTGTCAAGATAAAAGTATAAAGTTGATTCATCAACATATAGAGCCACTTAAGATGTAAGATTGTCAGGAAGATCATTAATGTAGATAAGAAACAATGTAGAACCAAGGATAAAATCTTGTGGTACCCTAAAAATTGCTGGAACTAAAGAAGAATGTTGATCTTTGTAAATGATTTTAGTACTACTTGGCAAACTTTATAGAAAACTTATGAAATGTCAATAGCAAATAGCCCTTGTTTTGCTGACATCGCTTAATTCACAATAGAATCTTTCTGTTATAATGGTTAGCAATTCAGCCATAGAACGAGATAATCAAAATCTGTATTTTTTGTAAGAGAGTAAGTTATTAGACTCAAGGTGAGATGTTTGAAATTTGTTGATAAAAAAACTCAAAGACCTTGCTATTAACAAGTTGATCGGACAATAGTTCAATTAGTTCTTAAAAATAGAAAGAAAACTGATTGGACAATAGTTAAAGAGGTCAGATTGTTCACCAGAGTTTTTTAAAATTGGTACTACAGATGCCATTATCCAACAAGCAGAAAAATAAGATTCAGTCAAAATCTTATTAAATAGTTTATTATTAAATGACTTTAGCAATGAAAGCTGGAGTGATTTGGATATCTAACGATGAACAATGGGTTAATCTGGAATGACAGAAAGAGTGTGGCCATTTGATTAGGGGGACAAATTAGAGGAAAAGTTCTTTGCAAATAGTTTTGCCTTATCCTAGGGAGATGCAATTACATAGAAAATTACATAGAAGGCACATCGGAAACAAAAGGAATCAGCCTAAATACAGTCATGAAGAGTTGGCTTTAGAGTAATAGTAAGTAGTGTGGCGATAGGGCAAGTCTGAAGAAGAATTATAAATGATTTATAAAGATCATTGCATGTTTTGAAACACCTAAAGGAGAACAAGGAAAAACTGAACACACACTAGAGTCAGACAAGACGCAAATCAAGGAGTGAAGGTGATTAGGTTTATCTGGTAAACATGTCACTAGGTTAACTATCTGAGTAAGAGATTGAGAAATACAGATATTTTGAGCTTTAGTGCCAGCAGGGTCAGTGGTGTTAGAGTCAAGCCATTCAGTGTGATAAGCATTACAGTCATTAATAACAACAATGTTGGCTGAGTTATAAAGAGAAAAAGCTCAGTTAATTTGATTATAAATTACATTTTGAAGAGTGCAGTCTTGAGAAGAAGTAGGACAATAATGAACAATAAAATGATATTTAGTGAAAAGGTGCTAAATAGAACCACATAAAAAAAATGTCCGGAGGATTAAAACCTGTATTGACAACAAATATTATGATTTGTAAGTATATGCCCAGGAAAAGCATGTGACTGTTGGAGTTTTAGTGAATCCATCAACACTGAGATCTGAAGATGAAACAGCTGAATTCAAAATTAGTCTCACAAAGTGCAAGTAAGATAAGTAAATTTTGCAAAATGTAAGGTTTAACTGATGAAAAGTTATTTCGAAGACCACAATTATTTGTAAAAGATTAAAGCAGTTACGTTTAGTGATGTTTTTTATGTTTTTAGGTATTTCAGTCATTTAGTCATGTTTTAAGTTAAAAAGATGATGACTCAATCATAGATAGAGCATGATATCACAATGGATGAGCTATGCAGGTGTCTCAGTTCTGCTAGGTAATCTAAATTGTAACAAATTTGTTTTGACCTCCTTTTGAGACCTTAACAATGCAAATCAAAAGCACTAACAGGGACACCATTCATGCACAACTTGATGCTGTTAATATTCTGATAATTTACAGCTGTTGATGGAATTAGTCTTTCTGAGAGCTACCACAGAGTTCGGGAAACTTTACTTCCATCCAGCCTCAGAACCATTAAACTGAGTTTTAGAATTGTAACCTTATTAAGAGATAACAGGAAAATTTGAATTGTTACTATTGTGGAGGCACTAGCAATGTCTTAAGAGTTAAGTCAATAATCCAGCATTCATCATTCTAGGCAGGAAATAATGTTGAACATAACATAATAGATAAAGAAGGCTAGTCAACAGAATTATTCTCCTTCTAAAGTCTTTTGCCCATCAGTTATTAAATGTCTTTGGTCGAATCTGTTACATATGCAAAATACTTTCGATTTTCTACTTTCATACTTTCGTACTTTCATGATTTTCTACTTTCATACTTTTCATACTTTCCTGATTTTCGATTTTCATACTTTCATTTCTGAACATTTTTTGCTTTAGCTTCAAATGCCAAATACTATATATTTATAATGTGTATATATGTCATTCTGAATGGTCCAGACTAAGATTCGAGACATATTACTGTTACTTTGACATGCTACTCTAATACTACAAATAAGTATTGCCAAATTTTGCAAGGCATTTCATAAGTTCAAGAAAATTGTCTTAGCTACTTGAAGGCTAATCAATGATACTCTATAAGAGTTTTTAAGATCCTCCTGTACTTTTCTGGCCTGTTATATAGTCCAGACCATCTTTTTTCTGGCCTGTTATATAGTCCAGACCATCTTTTTTCTGGCCTGTTATATAGTCCAGACCATCTTTTTTCTGGCCTGTTATATAGTCCAGACCATCTTTTTTCTGGCCTGTTATATAGTCCAGACCATCTTTTTTCTGGCCTGTTATATAGTCCAGACCATCTTTTTTCTGGCCTGTTATATAGTCCAGACCATCTTCAGATACAAGCCATTATGCAGCATTATTAACTTTGTGATCGTTCGGAGTGTCATTTTTTTTTTTTTCTGTTTACAAACATTCTGCGTTTTTTTTTTTTATATAGTGGTTGCCAAAAAATTTCTGTTTTTAAGAACTTAATAACATGTTTTATTTAAAACTCAAAAAATTTTTGCAAAAAAACAACTTTTAGTTTTACTTTAGGAAAATACTAAACTGTATATTTGAATTTATGAAAAAAACATGTAATTAGTTATGCAAGGCACCAATGAATGTCTTTCACAATTTGTTACATGAAGTTTATAATTAAATGTAATAAACTTGCATTACACATCGTTTTACAATTTATTACATCAGTAAAAACTTAAAGTAAGAAATAGTTACGTCGCTAAATTTCAAAATGGCCTCACTAGTGTTTTTGATAGGGTTAACATTTGCTTCCTTTCGCTACTGCATACACAACCTTTTTTTTAAAACTAAACTATTTTGACATTTTTTAAAAAAGAAAAGTTTAATACCTGCGTGTTAAAGCTTTACTTAATGATTATGGTTTATATTATTTATATAAACTTGATGTTACTTTCGTTACTGATTTTTCTTTGAAAATTTTTATTCAACTTAATATCTTTTGTTTGTTTTATTTTTTGATCAATTTTATTTAATTTTTTAATTATTAAAATTAAATAGATGAATTTTATATATCATTTACTAGCTAAAGTTTTTTTTTTTGTAATATTTAGATACCTTGCTCACGATGTTGAAGAGGATAATGAAGATTTAAAGTTGGAGATTTATCCTTGGGCTCTTGGTTTGCATTGGAAGAGACGCCATTTGCATTTCATTTCACAACGAGATGCGTTATTAAAAAGAATGAAGTTTCGGGCTATTGTTAGCAAATTGACTTGTGATGAGGTACGGCTTAGTTGCCGTATTTATAATAAAATATTTGCTTTCGGTCTAGTTTTGTTTATACCTATAATGAGATAATTAAGATAAATTATGCATATAGTTTATCTTAAATTTATCAATTAAATAATTTAGTTTGCACTTAAGTTCAGTTATGCTATTTATAAATTGTAATGTTAGGTCATTTTACTTTGCCCATCGCATCCTATATGGAAGCGAGAACGCAAATCTCATCATGGTGGCGCGGTGCGAATTTACCCTGATGAAGAAAGTGAAAACTTTAGTCCCGTTGGTCCTAATGGTGTTCAACCTTTCTGCATGTTATGTGCAACATGGGTGCCTCCATCGCCAACTCTTACATCTGGGTATTTATCTTCATCCTGCATTCTTGATTTTTCGTCTGTAGATAATTCATGTATGTCTCTTATTTTATTTTTAACATTTTAAAATTAATTTTATTTTTAAAAACTACTACTATTTTTATAGTTTTCTTTTACGCAATACCAAAGTGTTTATGATTCTTATTTAGCTAATAACTATTTTCAACATCTATTATTGGATGAAACTAACAGCAATTCAGATACTAATTTTGGTCAATAGCATTTCAATTGTCAATAGCAAAGTACAATTAATCCATCTAGAGAAAAAAAAAATCTTTTTTTGTGTTCGGTCATTCTAATTACACATTTAGTGTTAAATTACAAGAAAAAGCGATATTATATTCTGTATTTTACACGATATTATGTTCTGTATTTTACACATATAGTAATTAGCGCTAATTAATATAATTAGTGATATTAGGTTGTTTTATTATTTATTTATTTTTCCAGTTTTGTTCAAATCCGACATTTATTTTTTTTTTGAAATTGATAATTTTAAAACTTTCAAAACGTTAAATGAAAATTAAATCCAATAAAGACAATCTTTCTATATATTTATCTATTGAATTAAAAGCTTTCAGCGGGCACATTTTATATAAAGTTGTTTAATACTGTTATCTAATAAAAATTCTTCTTTTAATCATGAAGGAAACCTGGTTATATCATGCAGCTTATTTAATCAAAATAGTTTTATTTTTCAAATTTTTAACGACAGTTTTTAGCTATGGTTTATAAACTTATATTTTAAATGTATTTGTTGTATATATCTAAGTTGTAAATACTTTATTTAACTTTGTAAAATGGAAGTTTTTAGCACAGCTACTTTAGTGTCACGCTTTGTGTTTACTTAATCAATTTTTTATTTAAATGTCATTATTTATTGAGTTAAAATTTTTACTTGCGTTTAAAAAGTATCAAGTTTGTTGTTTTCATCTTGATGTCGTCACCTCGGTTGTTCTCGATGTTGATTTTATTATAAACCAGTTTTGTATTTGCTTTGGAAGAAGTAATTACTGACCATAAAAAATTTATATATTGGTGTTTTAAGTGGCTTGTTTGGTTAAATAAACATGTTCCTTTAATTTATGATTATTTTTAAAATTCCAAATATATATATAATATATACCTTGGATTAGTATAATTTTAGCCCATATCTATAAACCATATGTTTCTTAAGCATTGGACTAGGCATTTATTTCTGTCGTATACGTTTGCATTAGGTTTTACGTATGGCTGTTGATGAGTTAGGTATCAACGGATCCATACCCGATTTACTTTGCATGCGATAAAAAAAAATGCATAGTATGATTGTCTGCGGAGTATTGAGTGCGTGAGTTATCATAACCGCAAACAACTAAGGTGTAATTAAATAGTTTTTCTCAGCTTTCAAAGATAAAAAATATTTAAAAACTAAAGCAGTTAGTCATGAGTAAAATACGATAAAGTGTAAGTATCTGATAGATTATTTATCTAAGGACATCGTAAGCAATCTAATCTGGGGACTCGCAAGCTATGCCACCCTGTGTGTCTTCCTCATAAAATATAGCTTTTATTTAATTTTTATAAAAAAAAACCGGTAAAACTTTTTTTTTACTTATTAAAGCGCTCGAAGAAAACCTAACGGACTTGTCACAGAACGCCACCTACTTCAATAATGCGGTAAATATGGAGCAGATATCGAATCTCGGAAATCTGGATTATAAACATCCTTTGTTTTTATCGGCATTTACGCCTAATAATAAATAATATTAGAAAGTTTGCGTTTTAAATTTAAAATATTTCTGAAATCCGTAATTACTTTTATTCCTCGGAAATAATAAGTTTTTGCGGTATACCTTTTTTTAATATTTTATATTTTAGTAAAGATTTCTAGAAAGTTACAGGATTGTACTATGTATCATAGAAAAACAGTAATCATTTAAATGCAGTTCATTTATGATTAAACACGAAACTTATAAGTTTATCAAGTTCATGTAGTTAATTTAATGATATAAAATTGCTTGCGAGTATTTCAAATAAAATACTATATTGCTACAACTTATATTGAATAAATTTTCAATGAAATTGCAGTCATCAAATATTTTTAGCTAGAGTATAACAATTAGAAAATAATTGTACATTTTTAAAACTATTCACGAAGAGGATGTTTGAATAACCCCAATGCATTCTGCCACATTTAATGCATTAAAAATCGGTGTCTGTATGATTGTCTTTTGTGTGGAGAATGTGGACAATCACGTTGAAGACTCCAACAATAGTCAGCCATCATGTGTGTATCCAATCTTCCTTGGTATCTTTCTTCCATTACCTTGATATCTTGATGGAACCTCTCCCCTTGTTCCTCACTATAGCTTCCTAGATTATCGGGAAACCGATCTAAGTGACTATGTAGAAAGTGAACTTTTATGCTCATATTAGCTTTCAATGTTTTGAAGTCTGAAAGCATTTTCTGTACGATTTCTTCATAGTTGGGAGATTTATGGTTGCCCAAAAAGTTATGAACAACCAAGACAAAACTTTTCCAGGCAGATGCTTCAATATCTGTCATTGTATATAGGAACTGCTCATACTTGATGATTTGGCGAATTTGAGGGCCGCTAAAGATTCCAGCTTTGATTTTCTCCATACTCAAGCCTGGAAAAAATCTGCAAATATATTTGAAACATTGACCATCTTTGTCTAGGGCTCTTACAAATTGCTTCATCAGTCCTAGTTTGATGTGGAGTGATGGGAAAATAATTTTTCCCCTGTCTACCAGTGGTTCGTTAATGATATTTGATGCACCTACAGTCATATTTTCCCTTGCAGGCCATACCACCTTTTTCCAGTGGTCTTCTTTAGCCCTACTATCCCACAAACATATGAAGCTTGGGTACTTAGTATATCCACTTTGCTGCCCTAGTAAGAAGTTTACCATCTTTAAATCAACACATATAGACCACTGGTGCTCATTGTATCTAAGCTTCTGCAACATCATTCTTATATTTTCATATTCCTCTTTCAGTTTTGTTGAGTGAAGTATTGGGATGGATGCATAACTATTGCTATTGTGCAATAAAACACACTTCAAACTTCTCATCGAATTATCTATAAACAATCGCCAATCTTCTGGTCGGTATTCAGGTAACCCCATTTGGAGGTGGAGTCCAGGGATGTTCCTACAGTATACTATTTTTTCTTCTTGAATGAAATATGGAAGAAGTGCTGCCTCTCTTGTCCGAAAAAAAGTTATTTTACATTCGGCCTTCAAACTGTTCTTTTCACTTAGTCTAGATGCTAAAAGCTCAGAATCTTGCTTGGATAGACTTAAGTCTCGTACTAAATCATTGATCTCTTCCTGGGAGAACTGTTGCTGTTTAGAAGTACTGTCTTCATATTCACTACCACTATCTGCATGTTCGCACACCAAATTCTGCATATCTTCTTCATCAGACACTGTTAGATCTGGGAGTGTAGTGAACACTGGAATGGGGACATCGTCTGAGTGTGGTACAGGTCGCCTTGCTGATTCCAAATCCGGATACTCAAATTTACGTTTCTTGAAACGATTGATACCTTTCACATTAACCAAACAAAAATAACAGTCACTGGCGTGATTCTTTTGCTCCCGCCATACCATAGACACACCAAATTTTAAACCTTTTCTTTGTCAATTTTTCCACTGACGTAGATTTTCGACACACGTTTTACATACAATATGGGGAGCCCAAGACTTATCTTGGTCTCCGAGTTTCATTCCAAAGTATGCCAGATATGCTTGCTTCACAAAGTTAGTAATATTTCTTCTTTGGCTCTCCTGGCAATATTCACCACAGATGTGGCAGAATGCATTGGGGTTATTCAAACATCCTCTTCGTGAAGAACTCATTGTGTTCTAAAAACAGGAAAAAGTATATATATATATATATATATATATATATATATATATATATATATATATATATATATATATATATATATATATATATATATATATATATATATATATATATATATATATATATATATATATATATAAAGGTATGCCCTTTAAAAAGAAATAAAACTATTTTACTGTAAAATATGCATGAACGAAGATATTTGTATAAGAATATATCTGGAACACCCTGTATCTCAAGAACTAGAGCCAATCGTGGAAAACTAATGTCATTTCTGAAATCAGCACACCCGATATACTATAAATTCGTAAAAATATCCTCGGCAGCAAAAAAAAAATTTTTTTTTTGTTGGCCAGTGTAATAATTGACTTACAGCATTGCAACATTTATTTTATTACGATATGAATATTAATATTACTACGATACATCATTAGCTAAATATCGAAGCATTGTAGCTAGCAGGATTATCACGATTTATTGATAGCTTTAGATTGTAGGTATCTACACAATAACGACAATTTCGTTTTTAATAATATCCCATGTTTTATTTGAACCATTTTTATGTTTTATTAATTGTTGAGAATAAGATGTTCCTTTGAGCGCTTTGAAATTGATTCAAAATAGCTGTTTTTAGTTTTTATAATTAGTTTTATTTTTAATAATTCTATTTTGAAGAAACTTGTTATATAAACGCTGTGTTTTTTTTAAGATTTAAGAAACACTTGACATGGTTTAAAAGTTTTTTTGTTTCGATAACTTTAGCAACTTCTGGAAATGCTATAGATGGTTAATAAACTTAGAATGCTTTATCAGCTTTTAGATTTAATTGTAGTGTGTCCCAGTTAACACAGGATAAAAGCTTATGTAAATTTCTAATAGAAGCGCCGTTCTTTTAATGTACGGTACTTTTTTTGCGATATGGTAATCAGAAATGTCAAGTTTAAAAATTCTGTTCTTTATTTTTATATTAATGAGTTTATGCGATTTAAAGATATCGTGTTTTTAATCAAAAACACGATCAAAAACACGATCAAAAACACGGGTTTATGCCTCACTGGTGGCGAAAAAGACCGCCAAGTTTTATGTCACGTGACACAAATCTTTTGATTCAAGAGTATTTGTCTTGCAATAATAGAAAAGAATTTTTTTTAAATCCCCACAATATGATAAGAGTTATAATCGGGACAAAAGGTTAAAATTAAGAAGTGTCTTGGCCCATTTAAGCATTTTAAATTCACTTTACAATTTTTTCTTTAAATAAGAATATTTGTTCTATAAAAATGATGATAAGACTGCAGTCTTCTACTTCCTCCTGTCATTATATTAACTTTTATCTTATTTATAAATGTATGCATGAATTAAAGTTAATTGTATGTAAAATATATAGTGATAAATAAATTATAAAATAAAAAAAATTGAAAATTTAATAGAACAAAAACATTTAAAAATACTTACAATATGAATGTAAAATTTGTTTTTAGTTTTTGTCACAGAACACAACAGAAGAGAATTTAACCAGGAATTTAACCAGGCTCACGCCTCCTTCCTTACGGATGGCGCGAAATATACTCAAAACTCACTTTG